TCTATATGAATTGTGTTTTAAGACGGATACAACTTGATGGGTTGTATCAAAGAGATCCCCACTCTCAAAGATGACAACTATATGGAGTGAAAGAAAAAGATTGACCTGGCCTTCATCTTGGCTGAGGTGAACTGGGTAGTCACCTCACCGTGTCCCACTGAGCCTGTGGCACCGGTGAGGTAGATAAACGAGGTTGATGCCGCTTGGACAACTAAAAAGAGGGATTTTGAATCTAAAAGATGTCCTATGACCTTGAGCATAGAAAGTGGGTCACTACCAACAAGAAATGTTTGGCTGTGATAAAGAACACGATTGAGCCTACAATTACGGGCTCAATCTCAGAGTGTGACACGGTCACCGAGTACCTCGATAGAATAAAGAGTCAGTTCACTGGCTCTTCAAAGACATATGCTACCCAGCTGATAAAGCAGCTGGTGACAGAGAGGTACTCTGAAAATGGTGGCATAAGAGAGCACATAGTATTTGTTATCACTACGTGATGATGTGAATGTTGTATGCGATGATGGAAATGTTGCGTGCGACAATGAGAATGTATCCTCGTCTGCGGATGTAAACAGAAAACGAAAGAGAGCTCACGATGCGTCGTCAAAATTATGGCACTGTCGTTTAGGCTATATTTCGAGGGAGGGAATAGAAAGACTAGTTAAGAATGATATTCTTCCTCCATTAGAGCTCTTAGATTTATAACAATGTAAAGAAAATTAAGAAAAATGCTAAACGAAGCGCAAGAATTTTATAGATTATTCACACAGACATCTGTGGTCCGTTTTCTATAAAGAGTGTGGATGGTTATGATTCATTCATAACATTCACAGATGATTACTCCCGTTATGGCTACATTTATCTAATCAAACAAAGAATAGAAGCATTGAATAAATTTAAGATATTTAAGGCAGAAGTTGAAAACCAACACAATTTAAAGATTAAGATAGTCAGGTCCGACCATGAGGGGTTACTACAGTCGGCATACCCCATATGGCCAAGTTCCTGGACCTTTTGCAAGGTTCTTACAGGAGAATGGCATAGTAGCCCAGTATTCTACATCGGGCGAACCTCAACAAAATGGAGTAGCTGAAAGACGCAATCGTACCCTGATGGATATGGTGCGCAGTATGATAAGTTACTCCACCTTACTGTTGAGCCTGTGGATGGAGGCGTTAAAAACCGCCATTTATATTCTCAATAGAGTAACAAGTAAGTCGGTGCCCAAAACACCGTATGAGTTGTGGATAGGAAGAGTACCCTCACTAAACCACTTACGGGTGTGGGGGAGTCCTGCTGAGGCTAAAGTATTTAACCCAAACATTGGTAAGCTAGATCCCAAAACAGTAAGTTACCATTTCATTGGCTATCCAGAAAAGTTAAAAGGTTTTCGTTTCTACTGTCCAGGCAGACATACAAAGTTTGTGGAAACGAGACACGCTGTCTTCCTAGAGGATGAAATGATGAGGGGGATCATGGTAGCTCGAGAAATTGACCTTGAAGAGAAGCGGGTGTATGCGCTCACTCCGATAATTCTTGAGCCATTTTTCTCACTACCTGCTGTTACTGCACCGACAGTGCAAGATACTGTGGTGCCAGCACCTGTTGTTATTCCGCCTGTGGCAACAATGAATGACGATAAGGAACATGTTCTTCAGGATCCTGTAGAACCTATTGCCACACATGAGGGAGAGCAACAACAGCCTCAAATAGAAGATATGCCAAATGTGGAGGCTCCTAGAAGGTCTTAAAGAATTAAAAAATCAGCTATCCTGCTGACTATGAAGTATATAACACTGAAGAATTTTAAATGGAGGATGATTCAACTTCATTTGAAGAAGCCATGAGAAGTGATTATTCATCAAAGTGGCTTGAGGCCATGGAAGATGAAATGAAATATATGAATGCCAATAAAGTTTGGAACTTGGAAATAATTCCTAAGGGAGCCAAAACAGTAGGATGTAAATGGGTCTACAAAACAAAACTTGACTCTCAAGGAAATATAGAGAGATATAAAGCGCGACTTGTGGCAAAAGACTTTACGCAAAGAGAAGAGATTGATTACAATGAGACTTTTTCTTCAGTCTCATGTAAGGATTCCTTCAGAATCATAATGGCATTAGTGGCACATTACGATTTAGAATTACATCAGATAGATATAAAGACGACATTTCTAAACGGAAACTTGGAGAAAAAATTTTACATGGCACGACCGAAATGTTTTGTCATGGAAGAAAAAGAACGAATGTGGTGCCGCTTAAAGAAATCCATTTATGGATTAAAAGAAGCTTCAAGACAGCGGTACTTGAAGTTTGATAAGACTAAGGAATTTTGGGTTTAAAGAGAATGTAGAGGATAATTGTGTCTATGCAAAATTTAAGAATGGGAAGTTTATCTTTCTTGTTCTATATGTGGATGATATCTTACTTGCTAGTACTGATGTCAGTCTACTGCTGGAGACAAAGAAGTTTTTGTCCTCAAAATTTGATACGAAAGATCTTGGTGAAGCTTCGTTCGTTCTAGGGATCGAGATTCACCGAGATAGAAGTAAAGGGGTATTATGACTGTCACAAAAGGCATATATAGAAAAAATCTTAAAGAAATTATGTATGCACAAATGTAGTCCTCTCACCTGCTCCTATAGTCAAGGACGACAGATATGGGGATTTTCAATGCCCCAGGAATCAATATGAGATCAATGAAATGAAAGCGGTTCCATATGCTTCAGCTGTCGGAAGCTTGCAATATGCTCAAGTATGTACGCGTCCTGACTTAGCATTTGTTCCCGAGTTACTTGGTAGATTCTAGAGCAATCCTAGAACAAAACACTGAAAATTGGTAAAGAAAGTCTTTTGTTATTTGCAAGGAAACAAAAAGCCTCATGATGACGTATAGAAGATCAGATTCACTCCATATAGTGGGATATTCTGATTCTGATTATGCAGGAGATGATAGAAATTCCACATCTGGATATGTATTCACTCTCGCAAGGGGAGCTATTTTATAGAAAATCTCAAAGCAAATCGTCACTACATCGTCCACAATGTATGCCGAGTTTGTAGCGACAGGGCAGGTGAGCTGGCTAAAGAAGTTCATACCCGGTTTGATGGTGGTTGACGACATCTATAGACTACTTAAGTTATACTACGATAATAATCCGACAGTACAGTATGCTCACAACAATAAGTCAAGTGGTGTTGCCAAACACATTGACATAAAATATTATGTTGTGAAAGATAAAAGTCCGTGATCATATCATAAGTCTTGAGCATATAATTACCGAAAAGATGCTCGCAGATCCGCTTATAAAAGGCTTATCACCCAACGTGTTCAGAGAACATGTAGCCGAGCATGGGTTTAAGGAAAAGCCTATAATTCCTAGATAAAAGAAGGCACAAAGTTAAGTATCTATTTCAGAACAGAGTGGTGTGTTGTAATTGTTAAATCTATTGGCAATTGATCGTGACGATGAAACATGCTCTATGCGCTAATCTGTAATGGAATGAACAAAAGTAAATGATAAGAAATTAAAAGACGGTAGTGAGATCAATGGGAGAATATTAGTTGATCTCCACCAATAGGCCCAACGACGACCTATTGGGCCCTTGGATCTGCGCCTTAATCGGGAGCGCCCAACCCTAATATGGTTGGTGGGTCCTGTCGCACAGCACTAGAAAGAGAGGTGGGGACCAGGACTCTAACTTCGAGATTGACCGGAGCCGCCATGACTTATCAACAGCTAAACCTAACCCGATCTAAAGAGAGTGCTACCAGCGACGGGAAGACCCACTGACTTCGCCGTCACCATCGGACTGCGGCACCTCGCGTCACCGTCGCCTCTGCATCGCCACTACTACGCTGGACTCCACCGCAGCCGAGCTCCCACGACACCGGCGTCCACGCGGTTGCGTTGCAACTGCGCCAGGGCGAATTAGAGGAATCAGTTTCTATATCTAAATAAGATGTTTATCCCCTGATCTACGTTTCAAAGGTACACTGTTTTCTACATAAATCACACGTCAGAAATCTTGCCGTGGGTCGGAAGAACCGAACTCAAATTACGAGCAACATGTTCAAATCAGGAACATGTTCACAATTAGAGCGTCTTTGGCTGGGCTCCTGCTGGGGCTTCAGCTCCGGCTCCTGCAGGAGCTGTGCCAAACGCCTGTTTTGAAAAGGGTTTCGCATGGGGAGCCGGTCAAGAGCCGGAGCTATTTTTTGCCTACGCGGGAGAAGCCACAAAAACGAGCTTGACGTGGCTACTTGCTGTGGGTTCACGTCGTCTAGTGCGAAGGAGCCGTTTTGCCAAACGTTTTTCAAAACGGCTTCAGCTCCTCCGGATGAGCTGCTCCTTCAGATGAGCCAGAGCCGAAGCCATTTTCAGATGAGTCAGAGTCCTGTTAAACAGGCCCTTAGTAGCAGCGAGAGCACATATTCAAGACGGAACAACTCAAGGTAGAATCTCACGTAGAAAAAAAGATCAGCAGATCCACGCAGCATGTAAAGAATAGCAAATGTGGTTGCAATCAGGCTAGTGCCGCATAAACTCTGAATGTTGTGAGCTCCCAAAAGGACCTACAGTTGCAACAGTGTTGAACTCTGAACTGAAAAAAAAAAATGCATAGTATGTAGATAGGCATGAACTTGGTTTAACTCTGACCCACCATCTCTGAATATTGCAGTGCGGACCGGCGGCGGCTCGAGCGTGGGGGCGGCGCTCGTGCGGCGGCTCCGTTTTAGACTTTGGCACAGGGCCGGCCTTGATTATGCTAGGACGTCCCTGTTTATGGGTTCCGGCTGCTTCTACTTTGACGTCTCGATCCAAGCCCCAAGCGTTGAATAGCTGATGCCCCAATCATCCTGTAGAACGTCTGCTATCTTGGAACACTGGAGCTATATAACAACTGGGTCGCATTGGAAAAGCCACACGCCACGGTTCAGTAAAAACCGCCAAACAGCAAGCTAGATAGCTATTCCAGCCAAAGTGTTGCAGAGCCATGGCTCAAGTGCTGCAGGAAGAAGTGCAGGTGCAACAACAGCATGGCCTCCATGAACAGCTGCGCGAATCACCTCCACAAGCAGCACTGATCTGCTACTACTCTCTTCTGCTGGCTTGCCCTGTAATTCTCCTCCTACTCATGCGCCGGCGCCGCTGTGCGACGTCGTCGGCAGGGGTCGTCACGGCCAGAGCAAGGGAAGAAGAGCTGCTGAGAAGGCTCCCAGCGCCTCCGCGCAAGCTCCCCGTCATTGGTCACCTACACCTCGTAGGGCCCCTCCCGCACGTCTCCCTCCGTGACCTCGCCGCCGAGCACAGCCGCGACGGCCTCATGCTCCTCCGCCTCGGCGCCGTCCCCACGCTCGTCGTCTCCTCCCCGCGCGCCGCGCAGGCCGTCCTGCGCACGCACGACCAGGTGTTCGCGTCCCGGGCCTACTCCCCCGTGGCTGACATCCTCTTCTACGGCTCCACCGATGTCGCCTTCGCGCCCTACGGCGAGCACTGGCGCCAAGTCAAGAAGATCTCCACAACGCACCTCCTCACCAACAAGAAGGTTCGGGCCTACCGTCAGGCTCGTGACAGACCCGTGGCCGCCGGCGAGACGCCGTCGACGTGAGCACGACAAGGGATCGCCGGATTTCGGCCTAGCGACGGAGGAATCTCTCTGGCTCTTTACTGTTTTAGTATTATACTTGTCTGTCTCTTACAGAAACGATTTCGGGAGTTTAAGGGCTCTAGGCCACTGAGTACACTTGGTTCCACATGTCATACAAAAATGTAAATACGTAAATAACTTGAATACGCATCTCTTCAACGAAGACGTCTTCTTACTTCTCCATGTCTTCACTCTTGTGCCGTGACATCTCCCCCCGCTGTAGTTTCTGCTTATCCCCAAGCAGGGGCTTTTGGAAAACGCTCTTTGACAACGTGATAGTCCTCCCAAATGGCTGAGTCCTGTGGTAATCCGGTCCAAGTGATTAGTATCTGTGGAACTGTGTTGTTACCTTTCTTGACGAGTCTGCGTTCAATGATCTTCTCTGGTTGAGCTGCTGTGGCTTCAAGGTCTGTCGTTGTCGGTAATGTCTTGTAAACTGAAGTGTAGTCAGGATGAAAAGCTTTCAACTGTGATATATGAAAAACTGGGTGTATAGCACTGTCATCCGGCAATTGCAAGCGATACGCCACTGCTCCAATCTTCTCCAGGACTATGTATGGTCCGAAAAATTTATATGACAGCTTAGGAAATGGTCTGTTGGCTACTGATGACTGAGTGTATGGTTGAAGGCGCAGAAAACTGAATCCCCAACTGAGAATTGCTGATCAGTTCGGTTTCGGTCTACAAAAACCTTCATTCTATTCTGAGCCTGTTGCAGCCTCTGCTTAAGGTTCCGTAGATGGAGAGCACGATCCTCAATCAGCTGTGTTACTGATGGTGACGCTTCTAGTGTTGGAGATGTACTGCCACCCAGATCAGGGTCATACCCATACAGTGCCTTGAAAGGGGAACAACCAAGTGAACTATGGAATGAGGAATTGTACCAAAGTTCAGCTAGTGGCAGCCATGATTTCCAGGCCTTTGGGGAATCTTGTAGTGCACATCTTAAATACATTTCAAGGCATTGATTGACCCTTTCAGTCTAGCCATCTGTTTGGGGGTGGTATGCTGTACTCAAGTTGAGGTTTACCTTGTATAGCTTGAACAACTCCCTCCAAAAAGAACTCACAAAGATAGGATCTCTGTCTGAGATTATGGATTGAGACATACCATGCAGTTTGACAATAGTGTCTAGGAATAGTTTGGCAATAGAGATGGCAGTGTAAGGGTGTCTAACAGGAAGAAAATGGGCATACTTTGTAAGTCTGTCTACTATTACCAGGATGACAGAGTAGCCTTCGGATTTTGGTAACCCTTCAATGAAGTCCATAGATAAATCCTTCCAGACACTAGCTGGGATTGGTATGGGTTGCAACAGTCCAGCTGGGTGAGTATGTGAGTGTTTTGCATGCTGGTAGGTCTTGCACTGTTTGATGAAGGAGTCCACATCAGTTTTCATCCCTTTCCACACAAAATGTCTTTTGAGCATGTGATAAGTTGCATTGACTCCAGAATGGCCACCAATGGCACTTGAGTGACATGCAGCAATCAGCTTTGTTTGGAGTGCAGAATTGTTGCCAATCCAGATGAGGTCCTGATGCTTGATCAGTCCTTGATTAAGGCTGTACCCATTTGCATTTGGACTGCTGACCGAAAGCTGTGTAATTAGCTGTTGTGCATGAAGGTCTGTGGTATAAGAGTTCAGTACTTCCTGGACCCATTGGGGCTGCACCACTGATACTGCCTATATAGCTAGCATATGAGCCACCCTGGACAAAGCATCTGCAACCATGTTCTCTTTGCCTTTTCTGTATTTTATTTTGAACTGAAGACCCATTAGTCTTGTCATTGCTTTTCTTTGCATATCTGAGTGGAGGTGTTGTTCTGACAGATATGCCAAAGATCTGTGATTAGTCAGGATGACAAATTCCTACCTTTGCAGATAGTGTCTCCACTTTTCAATTGCCATTATCAATGCGAAGAATTCTTTCTCATAGATTGAAAGTTGTTTGTGTTTTTCTCCTAGAGCTTTGCTGAGATAAGCAATAGGCTGCCCATTCTGCATCAAAACTGCCCCTATTCCATCTATGCAAGCATCTGTTTCAACTGTGAACTGTGCTTGAAAATCTGGAAGTGCAAGGACAGGTGTTGTTGTCATGGCCATTTTTAGATTGTGAAATGCTGTGTTGGCTTGTTCAGTCCATTGAAACTATTTGTTCCTGAGTAGTAGTGTGAGTGGTTTTGCTATGATTCCATAGTTCCTCACAAATTTCCTATAGTATCTAGTTAGCCCCAAAAATGCTCTAAGTTCTGTGAAGGATGTTGGTATTGGCCATTGGAGCATTACTTGAGTCTTTTCTGGGTTAGTGGACACCCCTTGATCAGAAATGATGTGACCCAAGTATTCTAGACTTTGCTGAGCAAAAGAGCACTTAGATGCTTTGAGGTATAGCTTGTTGGTTCTTAGTGTCTCCAACACTTGTTGTATGTGCTGAATATGTTCTTCCATGGACCTGCTGTATATTAGAATATCATCCAAGAACACCAATACAAACTGTCTAAGAAAGGGTTGCAACACTTGATTCATAATGCATTGAAAAGTTGCTAGGACATTAGTCAACCCAAATGGCATGACCTTAAACTGGTAGTGTCCTTGGTGGGTTTTGAATGCTGTCTTTGTGTTCATCTGCAGGCAGCATCCTCACTTGGTGATATCCAGATCTCATATCTAACTTGGTAAACACCTTGGAGCCTTGTAACTCATCCAATATTTCTTCAATAATGGGCATTGGGAATTTGTTCTTGATAGTGATTGAGTTGAGCTTTCTGTAGTCTATGCAAAACCTCCAACTACCATCTTTCTTCTTGACCAAGAGAACTGGGGAGGCAAATGGACTATGGCTGTGTGAGATAAGTCCATGATCCAACATCAGTTTCACTTGGTTTTCTATTTTAGTTTTATGCTGAGGTGAATAATGGTAAGGTCTAGAATTGATTGGGACAACATCAGGCATAAGTGGAATGGCATGGTCATAACTTCTTGGTGGTGGAAGGGTTTGGGGATCATTGAATACATCTGCATATTGGTGCAACAATAGTGAATATCCTCAATAGGAACCATGGGAACTAAGTTGTTTGCTGGTGGCTGGTCCTTGATGGTGTCCAGCACAACAAATGCACAAATATCATTGCCCTGTGTTGACTTGTAGAACTGCTTAGCTGAGATTGTACACAATTGTAATGGGTGGGGTTTGATGCCTTTTAGAGTAACACTAGTGCCCTTATGCTGGAATGTTAAGGTTTTACCGACCCAATCACAATGCATTGGGATGTGGTTCTGTAGCCAGTCATATCCCAAAATAGCATCATATGGCAATAGATCTAACACAATCATGTCTGAAGTGAATGTATAGCCTTGAATATACTAGGTGAGATTGGGTACCATAGTTGCAGTTGTCATCCATTCTCCATTGACAAGTTTGACTTTTTGTTTGTCCATTGGAATTGTGTGTAGTTTGGTTTGCTGCACAAAATGTGAACTAACAAAGCTGTGGGAACTGCTAGTGTCCACCAAAGTCAGCATGGTCTTGTTCCTGACTGTGGTCTTCAGCTTGATGCAATCCTTGGATTCGGTACCAGCCGTAGCATTCAATGACAACTGACAGAAGTCTTCAGTCAACAGTTCATCTATTGCCATTTGATTAAGAAGATCCTCATTGATCTCTTTATCTAGATCATTAACCACTAGAGCATTGATTTGTGGTTTGGTCTTCTTGGTACAGACCTCAGCATGGCTAGGCTCAAACTTGTCTCCACAGTGATAGCATAGATTGTTGGCTTTTCTATAATCTCTCAGCTGCTTGTCCCTCCATAAGTTCCCATATCTGCTAGGATTGGTTTGGTCAGTTTTGTGTTGCTATTGTTTAGCTGGGTTGTTGGCTCTCTGATATTTCAACTTGTTTCTTTCTAGGACTCTTTGTTGTATCTTTGCTATAATAGCAGCTCTTTCCACTGTGGTTGGGACCTGGGGCTCCACAATTGATTTAATGTCTTCCTTGAGGCCAGTCACATATGTTGTGGCAAAGAACAGCTCATCAAAGTTGCCACTGTGCATGGAGACCTAAAACTGTAGCTTTTGGAATTGAGTGGTGTATTCTTCCACTGTCCCAGTCTGCTTCAGGTTCAATATCTCTTGGACAGTTGATCTGTAATCATCTAAACCAAATTTGGATTGCAGAGTTAAGCAAAAGTCTGCCCATGAGATGTTTCTGTGATCCTGTTTGTATGCCTACCACCACATAGCTGCATTGCCTTGCAAATGCATAGATGCTGCAGTTACCCAAAGTCTCTCTAGAATAGTGTAGATGGTGAAATAGTTCTCATAGTTATCAATCCATATTTTTGGGGTTTTCACCATCAAAGGTTGAGAATTGCATTTTGGGAAGGGTGTGATGTGGGAGGTCCTCTCTCTTAGTGTGATTCTAGGTGTGGCGAGGTTGTTTGGAAGTTGATGGTTTATGGCCGTGTTTGGTGTGGGCAAACACATTCTGGAACTCCTCTTCATCCTCAAAGATGGCAGACACTGAACCCTCAGTAAACTCTTGTGGCTCTTTATCAAATTGCTGAAGAGTGAGCTGTGCCACCGCTTGTCCATTTGCTCTGACCTGTTGTGCTATGAATTGTTGCTCAGCTGAACACTTGTCGACTTTCTTGTTGTTCTCTTGCATTTGAGTCTTCAGTTCCTGTTGGATGACGCCAATATCATTCATGCGATGGAAAAGCAAATCAACGCTCTCCATGATCTGGTCCTCAGCGGGACTTATCATCCTCGTTGCTCTTCGACATGTGGTCTAACAGGATCTGAGTCTGCTTCGAAGGTTTTGGTGGAGCCGTTGCGGCAAACTGTTGAACGCTTGAGGACTCCACGGTGAAACCACAGGTTTGGTCGAAACCGCCCCTACTGTGTGCTTCACCGGTACCCAACTCTTGGAAGTAAGGCGGGATCGAGGGATTTTACATAGAGATGAACACTCTGCAATCCAAATCCATGGATACTTCCTCTCCGTTCGCCACCGCACCGCAGAAAACAAGCAAACACCGGAATTTTACACGAGGACAGATGCCCCACAACCCTTGTTTGTTGTTGAATGCGTGCTACTTCTACAGACTGGAGCGGTATGAGAGTTGCTCACAGTGGTGTTCGCCTCCAACCATGATTGTCGGTGTAGTCCCCCAGTTGTTTGTCGAGCCGTAGATGTCGTTGGGCTGGTGGATTAGGGTTTGGGTAGGGTGGTGGAGGTGGTGAGGTTGTTGGAACTCAGGCAAGGTGACGCCGGAACCGCTGCTGGCCCAGTTCAACCAAAGGAAGGACCTACGGGAATTTTGTCGAACACCACTCGGGCGTGGACAAAACTCACCTGCCGACCGGAATTACGAACTGAAGATCGAAGCACACGGTTGCGGAACGTACCGGGGTGAGCTGAGCGCCGTGGATGTGGTGGTGGTGACGCCGGTTGCCGGAATCGCCGCGGCAGTTGGTGCTAGCGCGGGCGAGTCGGGGAAGACGGCGAGGCGGCACCAAGATGGGGATGGGATGGGTAGGGTTGACGCCGAGGAAAGACCAGCTCTGATACCACTTGACAGACCCGTGGCCGCCGGCGAGACGCCGTCGACGTGAGCACGACAAGGGATCGCCGGATTTCGGCCGAGCGACGGAGGAATCTCTCCGGCTCTTTACTGTTTTAGTATTATACTTGTCTGTCTCTTACAGAAACGATTTCGGGAGTTTAAGGGCTCACGGCCACTGAGTACATTTGGTCCCACATGTCATACAAAAATGTAAATACGTAAATAACTTGAATACGCTTCTCTTCAACGAAGACGTCTTCTTACTTCTCCATGTCTTCACTCTTGTGCCGTGACGGCCCGTGAGTGAGAGGTACTGTAGTAATATATAATCCCTAGATAACAATCTGTTATTAGTAAACAGCCAAAAAAAAATTCTGCAGAGGTGGCCCAACAGTCTGGCGCATGGCCTGGCAGAGAGTAGGCCATGCCCACACACACAAAAAAAAAACTAAGATGATCCAAACAGGTTCTTAAATCTCTTATCTCTGTCATCATCAACTGCAACTGCAACTGTTGATTCACTGTACTGGCATACTGCAACTGCACGCGTACATGAAAATCACAATACTATGTGACTTGTTCTGTATTTGATGTGCTGATTAGAACACAATAGTAAATCGATCACTTTGTTCTATATATATTGTCACCTCACTCTACTAAACTCCGGTCAACCGCTCAATTGGCAGGTGAGGTTGGTGATGGCCAAGATTCGCGAGGCGGCGATCTCAGGCACGGCCGTCGAATTGAGCGACCTTCTCAGCTCCTTCGCCAACGACATAGTGTGTCACGCTGTGTCAGGCGAGTATTTCAGGGAGGAAGGCCGTAACAAGCTCTTCCGAGAGCTGGCTGAAGCGAACTCGTCGCTCATAGGTGGCTTCAACCTCGAGGACTACTTCCCCGTCTTGGTGAAGCTGGACATGGTCAAGAGGATAGTGTGCGCTAAGGCTCAGAAGGTGAACAAGGGATGGAACGAGCTTCTTGATAAGCTCATTGATGACCATGCAAATGCAGCAAGGTCGGAGTCACAGCATGTCGACGAGGAAAGTGACTTCATGGATTTGTTGCTCTCTGTCCAGCAAGAGTACAAGCTCACGAGGGACCATATTAAGGCACAACTGGTGGTATGGCATTTAAATAAATTGCGCACATAGCCATTTTTTTTAGCAAGCACAATAATGCTAGCTAGTGTTCTAAATCAGGTCCACTACTGATTGTTATGTACTTATGTATCCACTTATATGTAGGTCATGTTCCAAGCTGGCACTGATACATCATTCATAGTGTTGGAATATGCTATGATTAAGCTCATGCAGAACCCCAACCTCATGACCAAGCTCCAAGACGAGCTGAGGATGACTATACCGAAGGGGAAAGAAATTGTTACTGAAGACGATCTGAATGGCATGTCCTACCTAAAGGCGGTCATCAAAGAGACACTCCGACTCCATGGACCAGCTCCTCTCCTTGTGCCGCACCTCTCCATGGCCGAATGTGACATAGAGGGCTACACAATACCGTCTGGAACGCGTGTCATCGTGAATGCTTGGGCTCTTGCTAGGGATCCAACCTACTGGGAGAGTGCTGAGAGGTTCATGCCTGAGCGGTTCTTGGAAGCTGGCAGTGCCATGACCATGGACTATAGGGGACCAGGGAAAAATTTATCGGCCGAAATCTCCCGATATTTCCGATATATCCTTTTTATCCGTAGGTGCCGATAAGGAAATATTTACCTTTTTCGTATAAATTTTGTTTAAATTTATTTAAATTTAATTAAATTCAAATTAAGTTTTATTTGAATTTGGTCCGATATTTCCGATATATCCTGTTTATCCTCTTTATCTGTGACCCCTGATAAATTTTAATTTCCGAAAATGAAAACCTTGTAGGGGACACGATTTCCTCTACTTGCCATTTGGGGCTGGGCGAAGGATTTGCCCAGGAATAAGCTTTGCGATTTCTGCTATAGAGATCATGCTAGCAAACCTGGTGTACCACTTCAACTGGGAGCTACCACCAGAATTGAAGAAAAGTGGCATTGATATGACAGAATCGTTTGGGGTCACAGTGCACCGAACAGAGAAGCTTCTCCTTGTACCTGTATTGCCTCAGAACTAGTTAAGTATTTGGTATTCTTGTGTGCCTAGCAGATAGCGCGTAATGCCTATCATGACAGTAGTAGCTCATATGTGAGTATTGGACTTGTTAATCAGAAGTGTTTGCTGAATAAATAAAGCATCCTTTGTTCTTGAAAATTCATTGTGCACTTCCTCAAAAAAAAAAAAATTGTGGCTCATAATGTACGCAATTATTTGGATTGGCTACATAGACATTAAACTAACTCGTTTTTTTTTGTTGGGGGCACTGCTATTTATGTTGGCCTATTTGGCTAAGTAGATCGTGAGCCAATGAATTTTAAGGTCAGTCTCAATGGGAATTTCATGTCCCTCTTTCTAGGACTCCATGATGTTGGAAACAGTGTAAACAATTTTCATCCCATGAAACTCATTTCATCACATATTTTTTTTTTCTCTCTCTTCATTTATACTATGTCACATCAGCTTATTTAATGCATTGAAACTCCCATTGAAATTAGCCTAAGAGTCGTTTAAATTATAAGAAGGTAAAGTGATTATTAATAAAAGGAAAAAAAAAGATAAGGAATCGGCTTTCCTGGGGTATCCATTCCCTTATGACTCGAGCCGCCAGTGGAGGTGAAGCCAGCTGGGGACGGTGTCCGGATCATCACAGCTAGATGTTGTATTTAGCATTATGGAACCGTGTTTTTTCACCGATTCTGTGAAAAGTAGTCATTGTCAGTTGACACTAGCAAAAGGGCCTAGTTTTGTCCCTGTCTGCGGTATGTTGTTCATCTTAGCTCCCCACATCGTCGTATTATCATCACTCCTGGCAACGTTGGTAATGAGCTACCATTCTAAAGCCACCGTAATAGGACCACATGTCTAGGGATGGCACTCAGGTGGGTCTGGACTTGAAACCCGTGGATTTTACACCTAATAGAGGCAGAGACGGATCTGGATTCCCTCGTGGGGCTTCGGGGTTGAGGCCCCAAAATGGGGTGAGTGCTGAGCAGGTTTTAATTTTCACCCATAAATTCAACCCACCAATATAGCTCAACTAATGAAATAAACCCTAGGTATAAAATATCAACACTCCAATCTCCTCCTCTAGCCACACCCCTCCAAAACTCCTTCCCCACCCAATCATAGCTTAGGCATGTCCAAGTACTCCTCCCCCTCCTGCACCCTCTTAGTGAGACACTGCACGTGGTGCCCGACAAGATCCTTTTCGAGCAGCTGTATCATGATCTCCTGAGTCCTTGGTTTGGTTAGTCCAGATTGAGATCAAGAACGAGAGCTGTATCATGTCATGTCTTGCACGTCTTGTGCATTGCCTTACACGAGAACGAGAGCCTATAAATTGATGGGTAAAGTACACTTTCCAACCCTCAACTCGTGCCGAAGTTTAATTTTCAACCTTCAACTATGAAACAGGTTAAGAAACACCCTTCAACTATCAAAACCGGACAAATTTGGTCATCGGCTGGTTTCAAAAAGTCGGCCGGTTTTAAAACCGGTTTTCTATTTTCGGGAGGCGCCGAAATTTCATATTATTTTTTTGAGCATCTTAACGTCCTCAAATGAAAAAACTCAAAACTACAAAATTGTAGATCTCATTAAGAGCTACAACTTTGGTATCAAAAATAATTTAACTCCATACAAATAATATATTTAGCTCTTCAATGAAAATCACTAGAGATGGTCTTTGAAATTTTTTGATTTTTTTTGAGTCTTACTATCCTCAAATGAAAAAATTAAAACTATAAATTTTAAATCGCCGAACCCTTCTACCAAATTTATATGTAAATTATAAAGGATTTTGCTATCTATTTATTTGGTTGAAAATATTTTTTTCATTTGAGAGACAGTAAATGCTCAAAAAATAAATAAAATTTCAAAGACCATAATAATCACCTACTAGCGCTTGTCGATTAGAACACTATATATTATTTTGTATGGAGTTAAATAAAATATTTTTATATATTCAAAATTGTAGCTCTCAATGAGATCTACAACTTTGTAGTTTTGAGTTTTTTCATTTGAGGATGTTAAGATGCTCTGCATGAAAAATAGAAAACCGCTTTTAAAACCTTCAAGACCAAATTTGTCCGGTTTTGATAGTTGGAGGGTGTTTCTTAACCGGTTTCATAGTTGAAGGTTGAAAATCGAACTTCGGCGCGAGTTGAGAGTTGAAAAGTGTACTTTACCCGATACTAGAACGTCTTCCAAGATTCTTTCAGTTTGACGAGCAGTAATTAGCCCAATAATCATGCATGCATGCACTTAATTTGATGTAACCTTTCCTTCTACCGCGCGCATGCACATCTCAGTTACTTATAAAAGTATATCTGGAAGACTAGAACCAGTGGCGAGATAATAGCCTATTATTATTGCTAGCAGTAGTGAGGTGGATTGTTTTTTTTTCTCTCTCTCCTTTTTTTGGTCGTCGAGATGGAGAAGAACGACGGCAGCAGCAGCAGCAAGGGTATACTAGAAACTGTGGCGCGGCGTTGCCGCGCCTACGCTGGATCAGGCCAGTGTGCAATTACTGTTCATAATGTTAATAGTGGTTAATATTTTCTGCAGTATTGCCACGGTAGATTTTAATTTTGCTAGTTCACTCTAATAAAGCAAGAAGTGCGATGAGATAGTGTTATTGATTTTAGTGAAGACAGTGGTATTAGATTTTTAATTTTGCTAGTTCACTCTAATTCAGGTGAGTAGCATGCTTGGTTTTGCTTACCTTGATAATACTTGCCTAGCTTTAATAAGTACTAAAATATGGTCAAAATCGTTGCCTTGGGTTTGGGGTACAGCCTCTTTTGCAGCTTCTATGGTCATATCGGGTAAGCAATACAATTTACTGCTATGGAATGGATACAAGAGAATTGTTATATGGATGTGGTTAGTTACATTTAAGCACGGTGTCATAATAGTAATCAAATCAATATATATATTGGGATCTACATTCTTGGTAATAGGACTGCATATAGTACTGTAAGCAAACAACTTCTTTAAGTTGGGGAAGGTGAAAAGTATAGTGACTACTAATTTTAGTACTTGTTACTACTGTTTTCTTTTTTATAAGGTAGCTAATGAGCTACTTTGCTTTTAATTAGATAATTGCAACTGAACACCTCAAAATATTATTGCAGCCCTTGATTGATATTATTGTACATGTACATACATACATACAACAGGGACAACTCTGAACATAGCAAATGAAAAAATAAATTAAGTTAGTACTAAAATACCCCTTAATAGGTTGTAGTGGCACCGGCGCCCTTTGCTGTCTTCCAATCTTACTCTTTTCTCTCTGTAAAATATAGCAGTATCACACAGTATGCTTTCTTCTTCAAAGGGAATGCAACAGCTGCAGAGAGGCAGAGGCTTAAGTCACTGTAGACAACAATTATTATAGAGATTTTAATTGTGGCCTCTATCCTGGTTTAGATGCCATTTGGTAGGCTTATATAGGCATTCCATTTTTCATTTATGAAGTAATGTGATTTTCTTTATTACTATAGGATAACAAAAGTTCAGCCTGTTGACCAAAATGCTCAAAATTCATTTGCTTAATCATTTCATACACCCATCCAAGCATCTACACTCTTTCCAGAGCTCATTCAAAGCTCCCACAAATTAGCTTCAAGGTTCTATCGTAGCAATCCTAGGCCAGTTGTGAAGGTCTGTGCTATTTTAAAGTTTTAAACTTTTAATATGCAACATCTTGGAGGGCGCAAATTTCATATACTACTGCAGTAATCCTCGTACAATATCTGCCTTCTCTACAATAAAGGAATTTATGTTGTGCAAGCCAGGGCCCACCTATATATCCCAAGACATAATTTTTTTCAGAATTTCCTATTGGTAACAGGATTTTTTTTGTTTGCCTGCTGCCTGAAACAATGGTCACAAATTTGATCTTATTGAAGGCCTAACTAAAAATCTGTAACATGCTTATATGGCTACTTGACCAATGTCTAAGATAAACTGACCTATCTGTTCTTGTAAAAGTTAGGGCAACCTAAGGAAGTTACTGATATTGATTCATGAAGGGAAATTATATATTTTATAAACGGAGATCTCAAAATGGGATACTATACATATAGGAAAGCTCTTAATTGAATATCACGTGCTTTATTGGATCCTAGCCTCCCAGCAATCGACGGAGAAGGCCGATAGTGCGTAGCAGGCATGAAAGCCCAAAGCCTAGAATAACAATAGTAAACCCATAAATTTTTTTGGGGGAAATCAGAGAGGCAGAGTGCTTTGTAAAATTAATTTTTACTATCAAAATATAGGTCCAATATTAGCTTGAATTGACCGATATCGTAGAAATACCTTTCCTGACTTGTCATTCATTACTGAATACAGAATAGGAATGAGATAACATGCACCAACCATTTGAATCTGATACAACTCTGGGAGGTTCAAGCTGGTATAAATGGGAAAATAAATATGCCCAAAAAACAGTAAGTGATGGATACATTATAGGTACTGCTAGAAAATGGTGAAGCTAATATATTTCTACTATTAATAAATCATTCTGGGCTTGAATCCAAAATGAACTGGAGAAGCTTACCTTCATGAAAGAAGAGCCACCATTAGCTAAAAGAATGAGAAGAGCCACAGTGACGCAAGTACATACATTTATGGAAGTAACATGAAGGTAATAAGGTGCTAGAAAATCCAGATGGTAATAATTGGATACTGACTAACATGAACATGAGAGAAGAGCCACCATTAGCCAAAAAAAAAATGAGAAGATACGGACTAACATGAAGGGCTTCCAATTTTGTAACCCATAATCAAAGATGCTTAGGCTCTATCTTGTTTCAAATTAGAAAATTATGCGAAGAACTTACAGTTATGCAAAACTCCGCAGCGAGACCTGGGTGAACACAGCGAAATGGGTAGTAGGAGCAGGTGGCTGCTTAACTTTAAAATGTTTTCACTGGCTCAATCATGCATCTGTAAAATAACATCGGCAAAAATGTTACAATATGTTTTGTATTCAGTGTGCACACACAGTAGCCTGAAGTTGGAAGTTCTCAGGCATATAAATTTAGGTTTGGTGGGCACAGGCAGACATGTGCAATGAACTGTAAAGAAATAAGGAAACAAGTGTGTGGAACATATTTTTGGGGCAACATTTAAAGAATCCCAGTATGCAGCTTGCAAAGAATAACAATGACGGTTAGGTAATATATGACAATGTTTCCATCCAAAATGAAGACACCATAGCCTAAATCCGATGGAATGTATAAATCAAATTAAAATGATGTACCTTGTTGGTATAAAGAGGATCAGAAGTCCCTGAAATTGTTGGATTGGAAAATGTATCCGTATTTGATGCTGCTATGAACTTGAGCCACAGATAAACCATTATGTCCAGTTTCCTTAGCCTGTGAATCATATAAGATGGGGCCAAAAACAGCATAACATAAATCTGGTCATAACTTGAAGCATCAGCTGCGAACTACTGCAAAATAAGGCCAAGTAGGAACATTTACATGACGAAGCACAGAAAGGAATTTGGGGTGCTGCAGCTGTATACCTTCCTCTCGTCTGCAGGATAACAGAAAGCAGCCTGTCCATCATGAAGCATACCAAAGATGTCTGCATCTTCCCTCAATTGGAAGCAGCTGCTCTTGATTCCCCATGCCATCTGTCAGTGAACATGCGGCATCCTCCCTTTCACTTTGACGATCCTATCCAGTTCATCTCACATTGAATGAACCTAATCAATACGTGAGAAATGTCTGTCTCGCACACACGTAGAGAGAGAGCATGGAGACTATACCTTCATTGGATGATGCTGGATGCAGAGGACATGAGGATGGGGCTGGGCAGAGCACGGAGGGAGGACCAGACGCCTGGATGCTTGGGGCGACGAACAGGAGGTGAGGGCGAAGACGGAGGTCCGAGGAAAGGAGAGACGGCACTACCTGGAGCTGCTGACGCCGGAGGCCTCGCGCGCACCAGAAGAGGTATGCTTGCGATGCTATTGGCTTCGCCGGGATGGTGGTGGTAGAGGTGATGCTGAGGAAGGCGGCGAAAGACACAGGCAGCGAACGGGAAGAAACAGGCGGTGTGCTGGAGCAAATAGGGAGGGAAGAAGGAGATCGCTCGCCTGTAGCGGAGCCAAGAAGAGCAACAGTGGCGCGATGGGAATCGACGGCCGCAGCCCCCCGCTGCTACCTCAAGTTCGCTCGACGTTGTAGCCGCGACGGCGTTGGAGTCCACCCCGCCCGAGCGCCGCGGCGCCGGGGGAGCAGCCGCTCGCGCCGGTGGAGCCGCCGTGCGCCGAGGGCCCATCGAGCCGCGCCCTTGCCGGGGAGCAGCCGCGCCGGGGCCACCTCGCCGCCGCGCCGGTGGCCGAGGGCACCTCGCCCTGCCATGGCTGGGGGCCAGGGCCACGGCGCGCCGCGCCAGGGGGCGGGTCTGCCCCGCCATGGTGGGGGGCCAGTGCCACCTCGCCCAACTGCGCCCCGCCATAGCTGCCTCGCCGCCGCCGTGACAGAGAGAGAGGGCCTGGATTGCGGGTTGATTTCGGTAACGTTCGAGGGTTTTTCTGCAAAAAAAACCTGAGAGGAGGCCTGGACTGCGGGTTGATTCGACTAAAGTTTGAGGGTTTTTTTGCAAACAAAAACCACGCCTCGCACGCTCTGGACCGTTCACGCGCTCGATCCGACGGCTGGGAACGGCTGGCGACGTGGCCACGCTCGCCGTCCAGCTTTTGGGCGCAGGTTTCATATGTAAAGATGGGAGATGTTCAGGAACAAGGAGAGAGCAGCGCCAAGAGGATCAAGTGCAGCATAGAGGAGGCGGCATTCTGTTGCGGCGAATGCAATGAGCCCCTCAGGCCTGGCTAATTCATTTGACAAAAGAACGTTTTGTTGATGGATCAACTTGGCAATGGCTTGGTGTTCTTGAATAAAAATGCATGTGTTCTGACGCAAGTCTTTGCATCGTGTTTCCTTCTAGTGTCCCGAGGGGCACATGATCTGCTCGCCCTGCCGCGGCGATCTGCCGGAAGAGAAGTGCACGTTCGGCTATTCTGTCCGACACTATACTAGATCTAGACATTACTGTCGGTTGAAAAACTCACTTCACTGTCGAATTTTAAACCGACAGTGGCATACCGGCAGTGATGTGGGGTTGACATCACTGTCGGTCCTTAAAAACCGACACTGATCTACAGGAAACAGTGTCGGTTCCTGGCTTCACCCGACAGTGTTCAGTTGAACAACACTGCCGGTTTGTAGTTCTAACTGACAGTGACGGTTGCTTCAAGAGTGTCGGTTCATGGATTAAACCGGCAATGTTGTTGTAAATATCAGTGTCGGTTGGTGGATCAAACCGGCATTCTTGTTGTAAATATCAATGTCGGTTCGTGGATCAAACCGGCAGTGTTGTAGTAAATATCACTGTCGGTTCTTGGCTTAAGCCAGCAGTGTTGAGGAAGCCTACACTGTCGGTTTATAGATCAAACCGGCAGTGTTGTCCTAATCATCAGTGTCGGTTCATGGTTCAAGCCGGCAGTGTTTAGCAAGCCAACACTGTCGGTTTGTTTCTAATCGGCAGTGATAATTACGACAACACTGCCGGTTTGTTGCTAACCGGCGGTGATGGCTCGTTCATATTTTATTGTTTTATAATTTATTTTAATTTATATTTTTTCATGGGATCGGGTTTCGCTTTATATACGCTACGTAGATGACAGGTCCATCAATATTAAACATTACAAATGTTACGGTTACAATTCAAATGTTCTTATCCAGATCTCCATCCCTCAAAATAAAAAAGAAATGTTCTCGGACTTCTTACAATAATCTGGCGAGCCGCTCTGGGCCATACTGGTCCTTGTACTTCACGGATTGTGCAATTAAAATAATCCATTTTTTTCAATACCTCGACTAAGATAAATTTTGCTAGCTCCGATTGTAGTACGACGATCTCCATCTCTAGCAGCCTTTCGTGCTTAAATTTCTTGTGGCGTTGAAAAAAGATGATATCTAAAGAGGAACAGTAAATCATTTTGTTGAATTATTAACAGACATAAATGAAATGGGGATTATACACACCAACTTATCGATTTCTTCCGATTTCCCGCCGATGTAGCGAAGGATTGCCCACATTACATAAAACCCGCATTCATTGTTTCTCGCCGGCTGTGATAGGTGCTTTCCCTCCATTTCGACAACCTTGAATGGGACCGGCTTCCCACCGATATGACTTCTTCGGACACCGAGCAACATTAAAAGGAGAAACATTAGAAAGCGGGTATGTGTGATTAGAAAATAATATATTATTAGGATCGCTTACTAATTCAGCACTGACACCAGTGCATCTAGATGATAAAATGGTTTTTTCTTCGAGTCCCACATCTCGAGCAGATTTTTGACAAGATTAACACAAATGAAGACGAAATGGTTGCTGCAATCACAGAATCTTAATTATCGAATAATCTTAACGAAAAAAGAAGTATAAAATTAAAAACCGAGAACACATACTCGCAGTTGTAGGCTAAAAGTATGTGGGTTTTCTTCTTCATCGTGAATTCGTCGAAAACAGTAATCAATCTCTGTTTTAGTCCTCCACATCACATCCATAGAGGCCTAGACATGTCCTCATATTGACTCGCATGGGGTCTAAGAAGCCTATATAATCCCATTTACTTTTTAGAATGCAAAATTTTGCTATACACCTACATAAAATCATGGGAAGTGCTCAAAAGTTAATAATTTGTGTCTCGAGAGAGTAGTTAATTGTAATATCGTGCGTGTAGGGTACTTACATAGTCCACAACGTCAATAGTTGAACATCGAGATCGCGTTTCTGGTATAGTTGGAACAAGCACTCACACTCGATATTGAACTTCTCTTCTTCAGGATAATTGAAAACATGTGGTGAACGGATAATAACCTCAAAATCAAAGCTGTCCGTCTCTATTGCTTGAGCCATGTAATATTCATGTAAATGGCACATATATGTTGTCAGATTTTTAAACTTATGATCGGGAACCAAAAAATTGCCCCTTATATACTTAATTGCTGGTGTTGCCGTCCCTTATACATCATAATAGATGGTCGTGGCCTCTTCCATGGTTAATCCTGGGTTGTCTTCGACGTACTTTTGTATGTTCCTTAAATCTTTATTGTGTATTTCTTCGTCTCTTGTTGTAGCGTATTTATTCTGTGTTTGCCTTTTGAATTCGGACTTCAACATAAACGAAGGCAGTGAGACACAGAGATTGAAGAAACTAATACAATCTTCCTTCTTGACGTGTGCTGTAATTTTTTCTTCCATCAAGGAGGTAACGCTACCATTGAACGACCTTTTTTCTATTGGTCCACTTTGGGAGCATTAGCGACCGAATCCAAGGACATTTTCTGCTACTGCGAGGATGTCCTTGATCTTGTTTTGGGCTGAGGTGGAGGAGGAGGAGGATGATGATGAGAATTCTGTTTTTTCGGCGCTGATGAAGATGGAGTCGGAGGAGGAGGAGGAGTCTCTTTTCTCGGGGCTGATGAAGATGGAGTCGAACGAGGAGGAATAGAAGGATACCTTTGTCTTCTCGGTGATGATGGCTCCGGATGAGGAGGGGAGTGATCTCTGTTGGGAGATGGTGAGTTATCATCGTGGGTGGGTGAAGACTCGCAGTCATCCTCATCATCAGAGGACAATTGGTGGTCAAGCTTAATGAAGCGCTTGCGTCAGGCCACTTGAGAGCACTTGTTATGACCAAGTTTCGGCTTGTCTTCCGCTACGGGGTACTCAATGGGTATCTTGTTATACTTCTTATCAAGTATTCTGTCAATGGTGACATTAGCATACCCTAGTGGAATTGGGCGGCCATTAATTGTCCCGTCTCCCATAGGCCAAGGCCTGGCCGAGCGCCACCTTGTCCTTTGTCCATTCCTGATGGATGTACATCCTAACATTGATGGGTTTAGTGATGTCGTCCATCGGATGAGGCACATTCGCCTCTTCTTCATCAAGCGGGGTCGATCCGCAGCTGCTGCGACCCCTAAACTATGGGCTAAAGGCAGTAGGAGTAGGGTTTTGTGGTACTGCTGACCCCTTGAACAGCAAAATTTGCTCGACTCCCGGTTCAACGATCGCCTCAATCCGTGCTTCCATTCTGTCTTCCATCTCTTTTAGTCTCCTCAAATACTCTGCCTCATGTTCCTCTCTACCCCTTGAGCGGCTCCGGTAAGTGTTAGATTTTTGGGGGAATGCTAGTTTCCAAGGAACAACACTGGTTCCTCTAGTGTGACCAGGGTGCTCCTTGGTTCCGAGTGCTTGGGTGAGCACGTGTTTCTCCCTATTAGAAGTACGAGTCCCTTGCCTCACCTCAGTTACCTGAGAGATCCTCTGGATGAGTTCGCTTATGGGTAGATTTGAGGAGCTAAAGCTCCCATCCTCGGCATGCCGTACATTCCTCCCCATACAGTATATTACCGATATGGGCTCTCAATCGGCAGTCTCAACCTGAACGCCTTCCTCAGCAAGGCGATCCATCTTTTGAAGTTCTACTTTAAATTCTGGCATCTTTTTGGCGTAGCCACGAGAGCCGAGATGATGAGGATTCGTCGCTTTCTGCGAATTCTCCTTATTCTTTCTGCTCAGTTCTAAGTACTCCTCGGATAACCTATATTTCTTGAAAGCCTGCCAGAAGTCCTTCTGCTTGCTAAACTGTCCACCATCGAAATCTAGCTCTTTATTTTGGAGGACAAAATTCTTGTACAATGTCCCCTTGAAATTCTTGAAGCATGTTCCCATGATTTCTTTTGCTTTTTTCTTGACTAACTCCCTGTCATACTCGGCTGGGAAAGTGAAATACTCTGGGATCTTAACATCCCATATGTAATCATTCTCGCTTTCGGGAACCCTCCATCGGTCATCATCTTTCCCAATCCACTTCATGTACTTAATCGGGATGAAGTCCCTAACAAGTAACCCGAGGATAGTATTGTATTTGGTCAAAGCTATAGGCGGTGAGAGTGGATCCGTGAATTCATCGAACTCAGTAATGTGCCAGTGTGCATTCCTACCAACAAGAATCTTTAACACGCCTCGCTCGGATCTGGTCTTCATGCTACCCGAACCCTCTGGCTCCTCGGCCGGCGGAGGCTCCTGCTAGAGACACCAAGCAAGGTATGACCCTCTCAATTGATTAGCGTGTGTGGCTACATAGTGACATGATACCAAAGTTACCTGGTCATCTTGGTCATTTTGACCCAGATCAAGCAGGCCGGACGGGGTCCATTGCTGCTCGTTCTCACCGACCTAATTGACACCGTCACCGTTTGTCGGATCATGCGGCTCTCCCGTCCCAGCAATATCAGCCGCTTCTTGTTGCCGATCAATTCTTCGGCAACGGGGTAACAGGCGACGATGAGTCATGGCTATGACACGATCGTGGTTAGTTTTGGCCGTGGACAACTACT